GGCGAATCCAAATACAAATTCTTGTTATATGGAGAATCTAAATCACTATTATTCTCGCCGGACTTTGTACGTTGAAGACACACATAGCGTGACATGTAGCCGTCTCCATTCTGGGGCAGCAGAGGCTCCACGGACGGCCCGCCTCCATTCTCCTGCGGGGCTCGATTCCAGCTGGAAACGTTGAGGGTCGTGGGCGGCGCCGGCGTGCTCGTGGTGGACAGCAGGGGGACGTTTTGGCCGCGAGATAAGATGTTTCCTTGGGCATTACTTGACGCCGGGATGCTGTCACCCCCTGACGTATGCCGCACGCGTGGGTTGGGAAGACGTGCCGTGGGCGCCGAGCTCCGGCGACACGGCTGGTCCGCAGCTGGAAGCACAATTTCCAGTGAATCTGTATCATTAAGCTGAACTGCGGCTGACGGCACCTCCAAGCACGGCGTGATAAGGCGTGGCCACATTGTGAGAGTTTCGGCCATTTCATTAAAAGTGGGCCGATCCTGAGGACATTTACTCCAGCAGCTCATCAGCAGCCTCTCTCTGCAAGACAAAGGAAACGGGTAAGTAAAGCAACAGCATGGTATCCTAATTTGACTTTCATAATCAAATTTGACCTGCGCCCAGAAAGGAACGACAATGACAAAATGCCCCCAGAGCAAGCGATTCCGACCCTTACCGTCAAATACTTTATAATTACATGTGAACTTGAATCTTGATTATACTCAAAATGTTTGTTAGTAAATCCTTATTCTCAATCACTATGTCTGTAATCATTATTAGTGACGATATTGTACTTATCTAATGTTCACGATTTAACTATACTGACATATCCAGTGTCCCCGACCAAACATGTGACCACAGGACCCTAACACTGCCATAAAACAGAGAGTCTGCAGACATTCCCACCAGAAATCAATGCTGTTATATTATGTTTAGCGAATATTCTGTGAACCCCTCAAAAACTCAGAGCCGAAGTTACTCTGCCCTCCGCATCGGCTTGGTCAACACCTCCAGCTCTCACAAACCGTTTCACCTCGCGGGCGTGGTAAGGGGCCTTGTTCTTAACTGGGCGTCTCTGCCATGCCTGCGCTCGGTACACCACCTACCATATTCTAGGGCAAATAAAATATCGAGGCTGCGACAACTTTAACTCAACACACCCAAGAACCAAATAGCAGTACCATATAAGGGGAAACGCAGCCAACTCCTGTCATTATAGAGAAAGAGAAAGAGAAAGAGAGAGAGAGAGATGCAAAAAGCAAAAGAAAAAGAAACATAAAAGAAAAGAAGAGAAACAATACGATATATGGACATACTGAGAACAAATAAAGAAAGATGCTTATTTACACTTAAAAAGTAAATATATAAATAAACAAATATATAAATAAATCACTTTATATGTAATGTACGAATTAATCAAAATAAATTTGTATACATGTGCACTGCTTTAAAAATGATGCATTTAAAAATACTTACAGTTGCGGTTTCACACCACTGGGTATAGTGATAGTGTTCCCTGCTCTTACATGCTCAACTACCTGATTGTTGGACATTCCCTGTGAAATACAAAAACAAACAAACAATTAAATTTATGTTTTCCTTTTAACGTAGGAATAACCTGAAATGAATATCAACTTACTAAAACCTTATATATATATATATATATATATATATATATATATATATATATATATATATATATATATACATACATACATACATACACACATACACATATATATATATATATATATATATATATATATATATATATATATATATATATACATACATACATACATACACACATACATATATATATATATATATATATATATATATATATATATATATATATATATATATATATATATATATATATACATACATACATACACACATACATATATATATATATATATATATATATATATATATATAAATATATATATATATATATATATATATATATACATACATATATATATATATATATATATATATATATATATATATATATATATATATATATATATATATATATACACACACACACACATATGTGTGTGTGTGTGTGTGTGTGTGTGTGTGTGTGTGTGTGTGTGTGTGTGTGTGTGTGTGTGTGTGTGTGTGTACAATGGAAAGTTTTTTTTAATGTAGGGAACGAAAGCAACCGATTTCTTGTACCTGAAATGGAAAACTGCCGAAAGTGATGATTTCATAGAGCAGGACGCCGTAGGACCACATATCACTCATGTTGGTGAAGAGGCCGTCTTCTATGGACTCAGGTGACATCCAGCGTACAGGTAACATAGCTGGGAGTTGCAGAAAAAATATCATTACGAGGGATAATGTACATGCAAGGATTTTCTATAATTGCGATACACAGAAAACAACCCAAAAATTATCACAATGAAACCTGAAAGACATCTTGCTTACCTCGTCTGTTGAAGCGGTAATATTCACTCTCATACATGGGTCGAGTCATTCCGAAATCGGAGAGCTTGACAATCCGCTCGGCGCTTACCAGGCAGTTCCTGCAGGCCACATCCCTGTCAAGAGAATATTATTCCAGGGATGTTCATGCCAAAAGTAGTGTGTTATTTCTACAGTGGCGTTTGCCCAATTTTAACAGAGCTATTACGATCAGTCTAATCAAGTTGTGAATCCATAATGCATCAGAAAAGGCAACTGCATATTAGGCTTCAAAAAGAGGTTTGGGCAATTAATAAACTTTCATAAAGGAGCACAGGATTTGTGGTAAAATATATCATACATCATCTAAGAGTGAGGAATAGAGTAGCAAGATCGTCCATAAATAATCTTTGTAGAATGATCATAGGTAATTGGATTGTTTAAAACGAGATAAGAATATTTACACAGGCGCTGAGTCAATACATAAGAACATATTATACATTTTTTGATTTTACATTTCCATTATCACCACAATTCGCCCGTCACCCAAATAACTATGACCGAATTAATTCCAAAATATTTCTTCCCCAAAGTATCAATTACAAGAAATTAAATGCTATTAATGGGTCTCGCGCGTTCTGCATCAAGTGTCTGTAATAAAATAACTTATTTTCTTTACTTTGCTTAATATATACATGCAACATTTTATCAAATCAGTACGTTATGGGTATTTTCTACAAAGAGCATTATGCATTATATTTGTAAGTATTCTAAATTATTGCAGCATATAACAATGCGGCTTGCCATTGACTTCAAAACATGGGCGTCCCTGCATTGCAATTTGGGTGTCGCAGTTGTGGCGCATAATGCGTGGGCGGTAACTATTTAATTGGTATTTCGTTTATTCTATTAAAAATGTGTTTGTGACGTCAAAATCTATTTGCACAACCGAAAAGATAAGTAACGCGGTAGATCCATGTTCAGTTCATGATATTTCGCTCTACTTCCACAACAGCATTCTACCCGAAGACCTGGGATGGAAATCACACTTGGCCATAATGTGGCGAGTTCTGAGGACAAGCCGAGAGTTCTAGATTCAGCCGCAAGATGTCTGACCGGTGGGCGGCATTTTGCGAATATCTTTTCTTTTCTGTAATTAGATTTTGACTTCACTAATGCATTTTCAATCAATAAAATTACAGTACGCTTTATTCAGAGAAGGGGAGACCTACTGTTTTTTTCAAACGGTGTCATTATACAAGTACTGGTACTGTATTTGGTTTGAGTCGTGATTTGGTGTAAATATTTTCTTAAATTAATTTTTCACTTAAAATCAATTTGTTTTATCCATTCCACTACAACTGGTATTTGTTATACAACGATATTCTGCTTATGCCACTGTATATGATGCACAGTCCCGCCTGAAGCAGTGCCGGGATTCAACATGTGGCCATCTCTCGCAAAAAAACACTATTTACCATTAACCTCGGATTTTCAGAAATTATTCACTTCCGTTCGACATTATTTACTGCTTAGCAATAAACACCTGGCAAATCTTTGTATCCTGGATGTAACCTACAGCTCCTTCATAATATGGCAATTCTGAGGGAGATGAGTGTGATGATAAGCATCACTCTATTCAATCTCAGTGACATGCAAGCAAAAACGTCTAACATTTGAGCCCCGAGGTGTCTGGTCATGCCTTGCTAACACTTAATCTACATTTGCCGTTTACTCCGTCAAATATCAAGGCCATTTCATAAAGGAACTTACTCGACATTAATCTGGCCGATCCTGACCAGGCATTTGATCATACTTTAAGTGCGCACACACACACACACGCACACGCACACACACACACACACACACACACACACACACACACAAACACACACGCACGCACACACGCACGCAGGCACGCGCACACACACACACACACACACACACACATACACACACAAACACGCTTCAGGCTCCCGCGTGTGGCTGGGTGGGTTTGTTTTTGTATGTATGTATGTATATAAATGTGTGTGTGTGTGTGTGTGTGTGTGTGTGTGTGTGTGTGTGTGTGTGTGTGTGTGTGTGTGTGTGTGTGTGTGTGTGTGTGTGTGTGTGTGTGTGTGTGTGTGCGTGCGTGTGTGCACATATAAATGCAAATTCATGTATGCATAATTACAACCTCCCACCGCTGCACACTGCACAGTACCTGTGAACATATCTGTTTTCGGTGAGGTACGCCAGCGCGCGGCACACATCCAGCGCCATGGAGGTCAGTCGCCTGCTGCTTATTTCGTCCTCCTCGCTGTGGACCGTCTTGTCCGACACGAGGTGCCGCCGAGCCAGCAGGTATGTCTTCAGGTCGCCTGAGGAAGAGCACAAAGCATGTCTCCGAGCCATCTCTTCCAAAGCAACTCATCGTGCCCTGAATGCACTTAGAGACTGACTGTATGTATTGAATCGCATAGCATCAGATGCGTGCACGGCGTCCATATACTCACCGTAGAGCATAAACTCCATGACCATATAGATGGGCTCCTGGTGGGTGCAGAGGCCAAGGAGCTGAACGACGTTCACGTGAGTAAATCTCT